GTATTTTGAAAATCTGTTTTTGTAACTATGTTGCTTTAGGTCAATGTATATAGTAAGTAACTTGAAAATGACAGCCATATTAATGTACTTTACAATGTATTTGTTTTATTATCAGGCTTCTGTGACTTTGAAGTCTCAGATCCTGTACTTCCTAGCTACCTGTTGCTTCAGACACATTGCACAGGCTTTCATTAAAATCTTATCCAGGAAGTGCAGTGAGTATACTGAGGCTTCTCAATGACCTAAGGTGTTTGAATATGTTTAACTTTAGCCTCAGAGAACACACCCAGGATGTGTTTTCCTTAAAAATTATTTATTACCCATGTATGTATCAACACCCAACTTCCTGGAAAAAAATAAAGTGGAGCATTCAGTGTGATTATAACAAATTATATTTATGTTGTATTAGGTATCTCAAAGAGGGGAGGATCATCTTCCTTCCACCTTGCATAAACAATCTGGCAAAAGAAATACAAATATCATCTGTCACTTAGATTTAACAAGCTTAGATATAAAGTTGGAAGAACATGCTCTTGAAGTTACAGTACAATGAATATGCAGAACGTTTTGATCTGTTCTTTATTTTGGACAAAATATACCATATAATAATAACATGTGGTTTGTAAATTCTGTTTATTTTCTCAGGACGCCTAATAATTTATAATTATGTTAGGGTGTAGTGTTACCAGGTGGCTCTATGTTCCACCTTTCAAGGCAGAGAGGAGGTAGTCATGGATTCTCATATATATTCCTTCCTCAGTCCTGCTACCTGTCCCATGTACTCTGCTACACATGCTTATTAAAGCAGGAAGGTGCTGGTATAAGAAATAGATCGGCCTGAAAGAAATGGGTATGAGTAACTAAGATTGCCATTTCTGCCACTGAACTAGAGAGCGGAGAAGTCTTTAGTTAGAAAATTGGCAACAGGAGTGGGATAACGTAGTAGGTACCTGGGTTGGACAAGACTTTTTCTCTTGGTGGAAAAACCTCTCTGTAATTCAGATATTAGCTTGCAGCAAGTCAAGTAAGGGATTCCCCCGCCCCTCTTGCCTATATAAGTTAAGTATCTCTTATCCAAAATGCTTGGGAATTGACTTGTTTTGTATTTCTGATTCTTTCCGTTTATACAGATTGAATATACCTTGTCTGAAATTTGAAGTGTTTTGGCTTTTAGATTCTTTCAGATTTTGGAATGCCTGTATTTGTATATACATGTGTGATTTCAAGCCATATATGTTTCATATATATCTTATACACATAGCTTGAAAGTAATTTTGTAAAATATTTTAAATTTTGAGTATGAAACAAAGTCTGTGTACCTCAAACCATCTAAAAGGAAAGGTGTCACAGACTGTCACCCATATGAGAAATTTTGGGTTTTGAAATAGCAAATAAGGGATGCTCAGCTTGTATATATTGTTATTAGGAGGGAACCCCAGCAAGCTCTCATCTTAATTTTGGCTCTTTGGCTTCATCTCTGTCTTCACGTACCTAATCATCATGAGGCTTACTTCAGAGTAACCATGCACAGGATTGTACTCTAAGAGTTGTTATGGCACGACAGTGCTGCAGATTTATGTTTTTAATATTGACTTGCAGGTTAATCCTTATACTTCAGAAATGTATAATTAGTTATAATTCTTATAAATAAAGTGTTTATACTTCATTAGATGTACCTGGGAATCAAATCAGATGATCAAATAATATACTTCGAAAAGCTGTATAGTTCAGAGCTGATATTATAGTTTGTAACTTCTCATGGCTCACAACTGGGTAATTTTTTCAGACTTCTGCTTCTTTATCTGGTTTGATTTTCTCACATTTAGTTTTCCACATTTCCATCATAACCACACATTCCTTCTGAAGAACTGTCAGCTGGGCAACATTTTGAGTGGGATTTGCCAATATATAGTCTCCCAGGTGACTTCAGAAATTGTTTTACAGAACATTATTACTTCAGCTCTTCATCCCTCATGCACATATTATTTTCTGTCTTTATTTACATTGGTATTTTTAAGCTTATTAATATTACCAATATTACATCTGTGACCCATATATCTTTAGTTACAGCAAACATACATACACATATATCCTACTATAGTAGCCAGAAGAGTGCTGCTGTATACCTTAATTCACTACTACTTAGGATTTCCCCCTCTATGATTTGTACGTTATTTAACAGCACTTTATGAACTAGTTTAAGATGATAATCTCTGAAAAAAGATCTACTTTATGAAATAAACTGGGAGTACTGTGTTGCCTCGACATCTCATTGTAATCCATGATGCTGCACTTTGGAGGCTTATCAGATATCTTTGGATTGATGAACCCCCATTAAGAGCAAGCATGTTGCCATATTTGGAATGTTCACCTAGGACTATGGAGGATTCAAATCCATCTTCAACCATAAAAACCCACTTGAGCAAGATGCATTCACATAGGTTTTGGGGAAGGGAATGGCACAGTACCTCTGATTAAACCTTGTGAGAAAATCCTGAGGAATCAACATGAAGACAGATATCTTTTTTTGCCCCTGTGTGCTTTCAAGTCATTCCTGATTAATGGCAACTCTTAAAGCGAACCTATCATTGAGTTTTCTTGACAAGATTTTATTGCCTTCCTCTGAAGTTGAGAAAGGGACTTGACCCCCATTCAAATTGAATTTAGCTGCATAGGATCGTTGTACAGAGCTGTACTTTCTTTTGGAGTTCTCCTTCTGTCCTCATAATATGATATGTTATAAAATGATCATCTGGCACATTTCCTGCCCTCATTTGGTGTCTTTGCTAGCAGGGAAATAAATATCGCATATAGAGCAGTTGACATTGTAATTTGATGCAGAGTGAGAGGAGATGACTTTACATTGGAATGGTGTTTTACATCAGTATATACACAGTTGTAATATGTACAGAGGACACACCTGGAATATGTAGTTATACCCTAAGGGGTTTGTGAATTGTTGAGTTGGCATTAAGTCATCAACACTTCCCTTCAAACTGATGATATTTTTGAGAGATTATTTTAAATCCCAGACACCTTCCCAGTTTTGCCAAATAAGGTTTCAGCCTTGTTGAATGATCAATAAATAGTTCTTGTGGGTTTTTTCGGGCTATATGGCCATGTTCTAGAGGCATTTCTCCTGACGTTTCGCCTGCATCTATGGCAAGCTTCCTCAGAGGTCTGCTGGAGCTGGGAAAAAGGGGTTTATATATCTGTGGAATGACCAGGGTGAGACAAAAGGCTTTTGTAAGTTGGGCTAGGTGTGAATCTTTTCAACTGACCACCTTGATTAGCATACAATGGGCTGACAGTGCCTGGAGCAAACTCTTCTTCAAAGGTGATCAATAAATAGTTTGATCAATAAATAGTTTGTGCATTTCTCTTGACATTATTTTGAAAGGAAAGGATGTACAGGCAATCCCCGAGTTAGAAATATCCAACTTACAAACAACTCATAGTTGAGAACAGGGGTGAGACAACGGGAAGTGAGAGAAATCTACCTCTAGAAAGGGAAATTAATTCCTGAAAGAGTTGTCATGGGGAAAAGGTGTCTCAACTGAAGCCTTATAATCAATCCTTGTTTCCACAACAAGCCAAATTTTTCAAAATCAAATTTTCACAGAGACAGAAAGTGAAATGAAATCTTCTAAATGGGCACAGGCAGCAAAACAAACACCACAGGGTGTTAAACCTTCCCTGTGTTAGCCAAAGCTATCTACCTCCCCCCCTCTCCCTCTCTATACACACACACACACACACACACACACACACACATACATATTTGGCTGGATTTACACTTTAAGAATGTACCTGTTCTGACGTGCATACAAATTCAACTTTGTTAGTAACTTGGGGACTGCCTGTAAAGGAGAATTTTTAATTACTTTTTCATAGTTTTGTCATGTTTTTCTCATTTACCGTGTTTGGGGATCCAAGAACCAGATACCTCGTTTTGTATTATCTATGGGGTACTGGGCTTGTGTATCTCAATTATTGTTATTTGTACGTAGATGAATGTAGCTAAATGGATTCAGATTGCCATTGTGCTTGTTTTGATGTGTGAAGGCTTGACAAGGTAAATTTAACCACCAAATGATGTTATCATAGGTTTAGTTTACTGGCAATATTTTTATCGTCATTCTGGACTTTTCATGGAGCTCTGAGTACATCTAGAGAAGAATCCTGCCTAAAATGCAATAGCTTGTCTGGCTCTTGCCAGTAAGAGTTGGCACTACTGAACTAGATGAACCAGTCATCTGACTTAACACAAAGAAATGCTCTTTGTTCTGTTAGACTAGATACAGAACGATTTCTTCCTTGTATATTTTCATCTTTATAGTACACAGTCTACAGGACGGAGGATTTCACTCTTTTTTTGCAAAGGTGATATGAATCAGTTGGTGGTTTCACATATTTGGTGCATGACCAACTTAAAGCGGAAAGCTTTGTGGTTGCAGGTGCCTTGTTTTTTGTTTACCCTGGAGCAGATTTGCCCTTTAAATTTTCCATATTCCCGATTTTCACACCACTCTTCAGCTTCCACAAAGGTAATGTACTTATATGAATATACATAATTCCTTTTGTGGTACCCTGTAAGCCTTGTAGTATTTGTAGAACTTCAGGAGTACGTTTGCAGAATGTTTTTGTGAACTGCGTGAAGCCGTACGTCAAGTTGCAAGGCATACCAGTGGGAAGGAGAAGCATCACACAATGTTCTGTCATTTATTCTGTTACATAGCTGGTTTGAGGAGGAATAAGTCGCCCTAGGGCTGAGAACGGCGGTCTACAAGTGCAGTAAATAAATAAAATAAATAAATTCAGTTAAGTAAAAAAAAATCCAGATCAGAAACCAACATCCCTAAAAAGGCTTTCTTTTTGTCTGCTTCAATTTTCTGACACATACATCACTTTTGAGTTGCTTTTTTGGAAGAAATGTGAATGCTCCTCCCTAGGTAAGCAAATGTGAAGATTCACTTTTCTGTCCTCTTATACTTTTCTAGAACAAGTTGAAGTCATCACAGAAAGATAAAGTTCGACAATTTATGATCTTCACACAGTCCAGTGAAAAGACCGCTGTGAATTGTCTATCTCAGAATGACTGGAAGTTAGACGTTGCAACAGATAACTTTTTTCAAAACCCTGAACTGTATGTACGAGAAAATGTTAAAGGATCATTGGACAGAAAGAAGTTAGAACAGCTATATAATAGATACAAAGGTGAGTGATTTTGGTTAACCTTCTGCATGCATTGTCTAGCAGTAGATTCCATGTCTAAAATCCAGGGCAGAATCGTGGATTTCACTGGGAACAATGTTGTATTTTGTGTTTCAATACAAAACAAGGAAGAGGATTGCATATGAGTTGTTATGAAAATGGGGAAAGTGCAGCCTGTGTGTCCCAAGTGAACACCTGCCTGCCTTTTCTAGCCCCTGGAGTTTCTGCAGATCTTCATTTAATAATATGGCATGATTTTTGGCTACAAAGCCCATTAATATAGAGCAGTATTTCTCAACCTTCCTAATGTCGCGATCCCTTAATATCATTCCTCATGTTGTGGTAACCCCCAACCACAAAATTATTTTTGTTGCTACTTCATAACTAATTTTGCTACTGTTATGAATTGTAATGTAAATATCTGATGATGCAGGATGTATTTTCATTCACTGGACTGAATTTGGCACAAATACCCAATACACCCAAATTTGAATACTGGTGGGGTTGGAGGGGGGATTGATTGATTTGGAAGTTGTAGTTGTTGAGATTTTTAGTTCAACTACAATCAAAGAGCATTCTAAACTCCACCAGTGATGGAATTGATCCAAACTTGGCACACAGAACTCCCATGACCAACAGAAAATACTAGAAGGGTTTGGTGGGCATTGACCTTGAGTTTTGGAGTTGTAGTTCACCTATATCCAGAGAGTACTGTGGACCCAAACAATGATAGATCTGGACCAAACTTGTCACAAATACTCAATATGCCCAAATGTGAACACTAGTGGAGTTTGGGGAAAATAGACCATGATATTTGAAAGTTGTAGTTTCTAGGATTTATAGTTTACCTACAATCAAAGAGCATTTTGAACCCCACCAACAATAGAATTGGGCAAAACTTCCCACACAGAACCCACATGCCTTGGAGGGACTCGCTGGCACAAGCCTCCCTCTAGCCTCACACGCTCTCCCTTGTCCTCACACGTGCACCATGCTGCCTTGCGCATAGCACACCAGCTCTCCCCTCTCCTCTTGGGAGTCTCAGAAACAGCCCTCCCCTTGGCTGAGAGGCTGGCCAATCCCAGCTTCTGGTGGGGGGGGGGGATGGGGATGGTGGAAAGATCTTCAGCCTTCTCTGCCAAAGGGGTTCCTAAGACCATCAGAAATATATGTTGGTCTTTGGCAACCTCTCTGAAACCCCCTCGTGACCCCCACCTCCAGGAGTCCTGATCTCCAGGTTGAGAAACACTGATACAGATAATTAAAGTAGCCACATCGCGTCCTCTAGTGCCCTGTTATGGTCAGCCTACCTCCTGACTTAGCCCTCTGGTTGTTATCTCTGCTTGTAACAGCTTTAGCAGTTAGGCTGTTCTATTGTTGTTTCAGTCACCAGGAGAAGCAACAGCATTTTGCTCTAGTTGCTTTTTCCCTATGTGGATCTTACCCAGGGCAGTGAAGGGTCTGTATTTCATTTCAAGAAAATACTTTTGCTCAGCACAAGGAGCAAAGGAAATGTCAAATTGTTACTAAGATAATTCAGTGGTTCATGTGCATAATATTCTGCCTTTACAACAAACACAGAAGATATGCGTACTAACACTCATCTTGTCGATGAATGTGTGCTTTCCTAAGGCTGCATAGTGGATTTGAACTGTGGACTTTCTGATTTGTAGTTCAGCCTTTTAAGCAGAAAACTACTGACCTTTCCTCTTGATTCTTAATCAGTCTTCTATAGGCTGCTGAGGGTAGAAGTTATAGTCTCACACATTGCTTCTTAAATTGAGGGCCTTGACCCCAAACCTTAGTTCAATATTGGGGTCTCTAAAATTTGGCAACAGTCAGAGTTTTCTGAACGTCACTTGGAGGCTGTTTTAAAAATTTACACAAATACGTTGTGCTGTTTTTACAGTGGGCTCTGCAGAAGATGCTTCAGCTGTATTTTGTAAAAAGCACAATCAGCCCATTTAGCAGGCCTTCCAAATGTTTATTTGTTATCAGTTTATTTGTTTGAGTTTTATACTTACTTTATATACCTGTACACCGGGAGTCACATAAACATTTCTTGGGCTCAAAGGGACTGTGAGTGGAAAGGTTTATGAAGCCCTGGTCTAGCACATCTGGAGGGCACTAGCTTGGTGAAGGTTACTATGAATTGTCCAGCTTCTTTTTGTTACATGTTTTGACTCTTCTCTAAAATATTTATCAGGACTCTCAAGCTCTCACTCCTCTCCCATCTTAGGTTGCGTTTTAACTTCTACTCACCGGGAATGTGGGTACAATCCAGTCCTTCAGAGAGAGCGTCAGGCCAAGTGATTGACTCTTTCTGCTCTTTGAAATGAAAATAAGTGGCCCGCATTTCTCATTAGTCTCATAGCAATAAAACAGGGATTGCAAAGGAGCCCCCTGTGGCACAGTGGATTAAACCGCTGAGCTGCTGAACTTGCTGACTGAAAGGTTGCTGGTTCAAATTTGGGCAGTGGGTTGAGCTCCCGCTTTTAGCTCCAGTTTCTGCCAACCTAGCAGTTTGAAAACATGCAAATGTGAGTAGATCAATAGGTACCGCTCCAGCAGGAAGGTAACTGTGCTCCATGCCGTCATTCAGGACACATGACCTTGGAGGTGTCTATGGACAATGCCGGCTCTTTGGCTTAGAAATGGAGATGAGCACCAGAGTTGGACACGACTTGACTTAATTTCAGGGGGAAACCTTTACCTTTATAAAAATATTTCTTGCACATTGAACAATGCTATATAAAAAGGCAAACATTCAGTATAAACTATCAGCGTGAAATATCCTTAAGGTGAGAAAGTAGATTTAGATTTATGGGATTTGTCTCCAAATAGGGCAACGCTGCAGTCCAGAAATCATTTCAGAGCATTTGTACGTTTTCATTTATTTTATTTCATGTTTAAAACCTTAGATCCTCAAGATGAGAATAAAATTGGCATAGATGGTATACAGCAGTTTTGTGATGACCTTGCGCTTGACCCTGCCAGTATTAGTGTATTGATTATTGCCTGGAAGTTCAGAGCTGCAACACAGTGTGAATTCTTAAGGATGGAATTCATGGATGGGATGACAGAACTAGGGTAAGTGCTCAGCCGGTCTGGGAGAGGATCCCTATCAGTTGAATCAGCGCCTCGTGTCCCAAGGGAAGAGCCATCCATACTCTGCCCATTTACTGTGCTTATAGGCACATATACTTCCTCTCTCCCCATCCCATTCACACATACCTTTCATTTTTGAATGTCTTTTTCCTATTACTCCACAAACTTCTTGAAATGTCCTGGGACCCCTCTACCTAATGCTGTGAAATTGTGTGACATATAGGATTTGGCAATGCATTGAAATTTAGAAAACAATGTTTCAAGTTGTATCATTTGAATTAAATATTCTAATTTCTAAGAATTGTACTTCAAAGACTCTTTTGAGCTGTATTTTTTATTCTTACTGTTTATTTACACCCGTAACCATATTAAGTACCGTATATACTCGAATATAAGTCGAGTTTTTCAGCCCTTTTTTCAGCCCTTTCAGCTTATAATGGGGTAAGGCTTTGACAGCTCTTTCTAGACATTGTTTGCAATATATGATGTATTTCTCTCTCCTCTTCCCCTCCCTTAACAGTGTGTTTTCTTTTCCAAAGCCTCCTTCTGCTTCTCCCAGGCTGGAGTTGCCCATTTTGGAAACTCTTACTTTAAAAAAAAAAAAAGAGAGAGAGAGAGGGTGGGGAAGAATTGAATGTTTTCAAAAGGGAAAGGATCTATAGGGCTTGCAAATATTACAGGAGGAAAATGCACACACAAATACATATAGACATGTCTAGATAGATATGATTATAGATACATACAGTTTGTAAATATTGCAGGGGAAATGCATACACACAGAGAGAGCTGTCTAGATAGATATAAACAGATATATAGGGCTTGCAAATATTGCAGGAGGGAAATGCATATGTAGAGAGATGATTTGCAAACATTTCAGGGGAAAATGCATATGTGAAATTAGTATATATAATTATAGATCTATATCTAGCTCTGCATTGTTTATATAGGCATTGAATATTTGCCTGTTACTGTGTTGGAAGCTGGTCTAAGTCCCCATGGGGAGCTAGGACAGGATACAAATGAATGAATTATTATTATTATTATTATTATTATTATTATTATTATGTTACTGTTGATACCATATTGTTTTTGTTGACTCTACTTTTCCACTTACAGAGCTAGTTTACTGTTTTTCTTTGAAATACGGTAAATATTCAGAAGCATTTAACTTACTGATGACTCAGTTAATGTAATTTTATTGGTATCTATTTTCATTTTGAAATTTAGCAGTAGCTGCTGCATTTCCCACCCTTGGCTTATACTTGAGTCAATAAGTTTTTCCAGTTTTTTGTGGTAAAATTAGGTGCCTTGGCTTATATTTGGGTTGGTTTATACTCGAGTATATACGGTAATCTGATCAAAAAGACCACTGGAGCCTAAAGCGCCTTTCTTTTATTTTTTGAAGAAATAACTTTCATTTTGGAATCTTTTAAGAATTTTCAAACTCTAAAGAATTTATAAATTTATTGATGAACTTGTATTTTTATTGGTTAAATATAAAAAAAATCTCAGAATATTTTAAAGTCTGCCATTTTCTTTTCTAAAATGGATATGACATCATCTTGGTTTGGAAGAAATATATTTTCAAAGTATTTTAAACCTATAGTATGCAACTTATTAATACACATGCAAACTTCTTTTAAAAACTATTACAGATGCGACAGCATAGAAAAGCTAAAGGCCCAGCTTCCCAAAATGGAACAAGAATTGAAAGAACCGGGAAGATTTAAGGATTTTTATCAGTTTACGTTCAACTTTGCAAAGAATCCAGGGCAGAAAGGTTTAGGTATGTATGTCAATATTTTCTGGTGCAGAAATAAACCAAGCCATTTGCAGGAAGGCAAAGCCCTGGCAGACTATTGCTGAATCTCAGATGTAGTTATTGCATATTAAAACCTACTAGGATTTCCTACAGCAAATACATCCTGGGTTGTTGAAGGCTTTCATGGCTGGAATCACTAGGTTGCTGTGAGTTTTCCGAGCTGTATGGCCATGTTCCAGAAGCATTCTCTCCTGATGTTTCACCCACATCTATGGCTGGCATCCTCAGAGGTTGAGGGGTCTGTTGGAAACTAGGCAAGTGAGATTTATATATTTGCAGAATGTCCAGGGTGGGAAAAAGAACTCTTGTGTGCTTGAGGCAATGTTGCAATTGGCCACCTTGATTAGCATTTAATGGCCTTGCAGCTTCAAGGCCTGACTGGTTGCTGCCTGGGGCATCTTTTGTTAGAAGGTGATTAGCTGGCACTGATTGATTCTTGTCTGGAATTCCCCTGCTTTTTGAGTGCTGCTTTTTATTTACTTTTCTGATTTTAGAGGTTTTTTAATACTGTTAGCCCTGTGCCGGCAGAAGTGAAGACGGACAGGTCGCAGGTTTGAATCCGGGGAGAGGCGGATGAGCTCCCTCTATCCACTCCAGCTCTCGATGCGGGGACATGAGAGAAGCCTCCCACAGGGATGATAAAAACATCAAATCATTTGGGCGTCCCCTGGGCAACGTCCTTGCAGATGGCCAATTCTCTCACACCAGAAGCGACTTGCAGTTTCTCAAGTCGCTCCTGACACGACAAAAAAAAAATACTGTTAGTCAGATTTTGTTCATTTTCACGGTTTCCTCCTTTCTGTTGAAATTTTTGACATGCTTGTGAATTTCAATGGCTTCTCTGACATGGTGGTTGTTAGAGTGGTCCAGCATTTCTGTATTCTCAAATCTGGCTACCAGTTAGCAAAACATTGTGGGGGGAAAGTCAAGAGAGAATGCTTCTGGAACATGGCAATACAGCCTGGAAAATTCACAGCAACCCCAAATGTATCCTCTTGTAAAAATATGGTCTGACTCCATATACTTCCACTGATGTGAAGGTCTGTTCAGCACTTTTTTCCCCCCTAAAAGTATTTGTCACAAGGAAAACAATAACTAGATTTTGGGGTAAGTTCAGGAGCAGTCTTTGTTGCAGCTTTAAAGGAGCTGCCTAGAGACACATACAGTGCGTATGAACAAACCTATGCCAGCATTACTCCCTAGTCCCAGTTTCTAGTTCTATCAATTATCTGGGTGGGGAGGAAGTCAGGATTGCCCCAGAGTTTTGAAGTACAGAGTATGTTTTCCTTGTGGCCAACAATTCATTCTGCAGTTATGAAATCTGAATGTTGAAGGAACTTGAGTTTCTGTTTTTGTTTCATGTTGCAGACTTAGAAATGGCCATCGCTTACTGGAATTTAGTACTTCATGGAAGATTTAAATTCCTAGACTTGTGGAACAAATTTTTATTGGTAAGACCATGCATGGATTGGATTACTTGATTCGAAGCAATGAGATTATTTCTGTTACCTGACTGTTGCAGATAAGCAACAGGCATTAGATAGCAGCTAATGGTTCTGTGGGACAAATCCACATTACAGAGAACTGGCAATTCCTCTGCCTCAAAACATTGCTTGAGTTTAACCTTGATGCAACGGAATTGAGCTTAAAAACAGAAATCTTGAAATAAAATTGGATATTGTTGCCAGGCCTAGTCTAGCATGCTGGAGAGCCCAATTTGGCACACAAAGGTTCCCCGATTAGAATCATAAAGTTCAAAGAGAATACATGGGCCATCCAGTCCAACCCCATTCTGGCATGCAGGAAAAGAACAATGAAAGCACTCCTGATAGATGGCCATCCAGCCACTGTTTTAAAGCCTCCAAATAATGATCTTCCACCACACTATGAAGCAGTAAGTTCCACTGTTGAAGAGCTCTCACAGTCAGGAAGTTCTTCCTAATGTTCAGGTGGAATCTCCTTTCCTGTGATTTGAACCCATTACTCCAAGTCCTTGTCTCCAGGGCAGAAAACAAACCTGTTCCGTTTTCCTTACGACAATATTGAGAGAAATATTTGGGTCCTCTGGATTAGATGGGAAGATGCTGGGATGACCCAAGGCAATGGGATATGCCTGGCTGGACCAGGTTATATTCCATGTGTAGGGAGGGGGAAGGCAAGGCAAAAAGGTTTGAGTTCTGAGAATAAGATGTAGCTGGCTCTCAAAGTGCAAACCAAATGAGCTTGGCTTCATGTTTTGCTCATGTTCCCTGTGCTGGGAAGGCAAGTCAGGGATAAGGGGCACTCAGCCTATGCTTCAAAAGCAGCTGGAGTAAAACTCAACAAAATTCTTAACATGCTAGGGGAATAAACTTGGTGTTGATCAGGTAAATGAACCTGGCTCACCTTTCTAGCACTGGAAAGGTGAGTGAGGAGAGCGGTTAAACTGACTCATGCAGTGCATCTGCAGTTTGCCTGCCATTGTTGCTTCCCTCCCCAACAGATACCTTATTTATTTATTTTGTGTCAAAAGCATTGCATTAATAAGCAAACATAAAACTGATCATACAGAGCAGTGGTTCCCAACCTGTGGTTAGTGGATCACCAGTGGTCCACAAGAACGAAAATAAAGTCTGTGGCCTCACCATTACTACACTATTGCAACGAGAGCGACTGGTCTTGCAAAACCCACTTATAGTGCCAAGGTTTATTAAATATGGTTTTATGTGGGAGAGCAGATGGTGATTACTGGATGGCATATGTTCTGTATCAGAAAATAGAGCTGATGTGGTCTATCTCATACAATTTTCTGAATCAGCACCCCAAATAACCAAACAGAATAATAATAATAATAATAATAATAATAATTATTATTATTATTATTATTATTATTTATAACCCGCCACCATCTCCCCAAAGGGGACTCGGGATGGCTGACATGAGGCCAAAAATAATACAACATAATTAAACACAAAACAGCAAGGAAAAAAAACACATCATGACAAAACATACGAAATAGCTAATAAAATAAAACAGTATAACATAACATAGTATAATCAACACAATGGGCAGGCCAGATGTATGGGATGAAATGGTAAAAAGTTAAAACCCTGGGTGTGATGTATTTGTAAGAAAGGAGCCCAAGGAGGAGGAGCAGTGGGGTTTAGCCTTTTTAAAGGGGAGCTGCTTTATCATGAGGGCTAATTGTAGGTGGGAAAGTTGACCAAAAACTGATTCGTAACTCTTTTGGTCCAAAGTTGGAGAGTGGTCTCTGGTCAAAAAAAGGTTAGGAACTACTGAAATAGAGGGAACACACCTGCCTAGTGGCTGTAATTGATTTTGTGGGTCATCTCTGAACATGCAGACTCTTTGGTCATCCATGTTTGGAAGTAATTTTCTAAATGCCACTGTTTTCCTAGCAACATTTCAAGGTACACATGCTTGGGGGTTCAACAACCCAGAGCTGCAGCCTCTCACCTTAACTTCCTAAAGGTTTGATAATGCATTTGTTTCTGACACTCTGATTTCTCTACAAATAGGAACATCATAAAAGATCTATACCGAAGGACACTTGGAACCTCCTTCTAGACTTCAGCGCGATGATAGCAGACGATATGTCAAATTATGACGAGGAAGGTACTGTGCTTCTCAAACATATTTGTCTCAGTAACCCTTCATTTAATAAGAAAATCTTCCTTCCCAATGTGATTCTCTGTTTTGCCAGTTTATGCTACCAGAGCCCTCAAAACGTTTCGCTTAAATTTCTTCACCACTGTGATTGTAGCTTTGCTGATACTCTGAAGTGTTTGGTTGTAACTGTGAGGGGCACCACGAGGATAAACAGACAGAGAGTTGTTTGTCTGCCTTCTGAAAATAAAGCCATTCCTTTTGTGCAGATACTGGGCACAATCCAGGAGTCAGCAGTTGACAGTGGCAATCATTGCCATAGTGACTGACCATGGATTTGTTTCTGGAAAGCAGTCTCGAGCAAGAAGAGGCTCTATTTGGGGTTGGGAACGGGGGATTCTGTTGTATTACCCTGGTTTGGTGTTTGACCTTGTAAACTAGCAGGCCCACTTACCAAACTAACCTCTGCTAGAGTTACTTATCCAGTCTTCAGGTTGACTGGCTGATTTAGTGAGAATTCCTTGCATTTGGGCTTTTCTATAAGTTAAACATCCTTCATCTGAAACCTGAAGTGCTCCAAAATTCCTAAACCTTTTGCTGCCAACCACCTGCTTCCAGCTTTAAGGTGCTGGATGCAGTACTCTGGTTTGTTCACTGGCAAGACGGGAAAGGGTGGCTGGTAGGCTTCCTGGGGAAAGGAAAGAGGATGGAGAGGCACAAAGATCTGTGAAATGGCAGGAAGGGTGTATGTGAACTGAGCACTGTGCTTGTATTCCTGACACATAACAGATCTTCAGTCTCTTTCCAGCCTCTTTCCAAATAACAAATGAAGAAGATGCAAGGCTGGAAAGAGATGGGAGGTTACAGAGACACGTGAGAATCTATGAAGTTGTGGATTTTTGCCCAGTGCTATTCTTCGATTTCTGCCATTTCATAGATCCTCGTGTCTTGTGTCTTTACATGCGACACAAATATTGAATGTGCAAGATGTAGGGATAGAAAGAGATGTGAGGCTGGGGAAAATCATGAGTATTTGTAAAATGTCAGGATGTGTGGCTATCCAAGATATCTCTTTATTCTGTAATTATATATGTATATGTATATATATCCAACACACTTTTAGTCCCAAGTATTCAAGATAATGGATGCTTAATCTGTACGTCACCTTTTTATGTCATATAACTTTTTAGTTAAACCTTAACTCATGCTAGATCTTGGTTCCCAGACCATTGGCCAAACTTTTTTTTTTTTGTCATGTGAGGAGTGACTTGAGAAACTGCAAGTCACTTCTGGTGTGAGAGAATTGTCCATCTGCAAGGACGTTGCCCAGGGGATGCCCGGATGTTTTGATGTTTTATCATCCTTGTGGGAGGCTTCTCTCATGTCCCCTCATGAGGAGCTGGAGCTGATAGAGGGAGCTCATCCACGCTCTCCCTGGATCCGAACCTGTGAACTGTTGGTCTTAAGTCCTGCCGGCACAGGGGTTTAACCCACTGCGCCACCGAGGGCTCCAGCCAAACCTGCTAAGGCAGTGGTTCTCAACCTGTGGGTCCCCAGTTGTTTTGGCCTACAACTCCCAGAAATCCCAGCCAGTTTGCCAGCTGTTAGGGTTTCTGGGAGTTGAAGGCCAAAACATCTGGGGACCCACAGGGTGAGAAACATTGTGCTAAGGCTTCTGTGAGTTCAGGTCCAAAACACCTGGGACATCAGTGTTTGAGAACTATTGCTCTATATTAATGTGCACAGTCAGACAATTGGGCGAGACAAAGACTAGGAAGAGTTACTTCAAAAAAGGAAAGAGTGATTTCTACTTCTGAATTAATATGAAATTATCATTGGCAACCAAGCTGCAATTTGTTGAGTACTGACTTTATGCAGATATTTCCCTTTAGTCTATGATACTGAGTGAGTTTGTGTATTGTAATTTTTTTAATCATATTGAAATGAGTGCAAATTATCCTGCTAGAGGAAGAACATGGATTGTAATTTCGCATTGTCAATTATTCCAAGGTATAAGAAACTTTTTAAAAATACTGTGTTATATAGAGAATGTGCCAAGAGTGTCATGCAAACGTAATAGTAATTCACCTTCTCCCCTCTGCTCTCCCTCTAGGAGCGTGGCCAGTTCTTATTGATGACTTTGTGGAATTTGCACGCCCTCAGATCGCTGGCATGAAAAGTACGACAGTGTAGCGCTAAATGGACCTTCTAGAGTGTACATAGCCTGTACAAATAAACACACTGGGGGAAAATTGCACAGTCAATTTCTGCCAACTGACTGAACAGGACTGAAGACCAATCCTCAAGAAATAAAGGCTGAGGGTTGAGGCAAACCTCTAAAGGATCTACCTTGGACCATATCAGACTACGGGTGGTTTGGGCTTCTCTCCTAGCCTGGGCCATTCTGACCGATTTGAAAACTCCAGCATTGTGGATATCATCCTTTTTGGGTTGCTTTTTTTTAAAACCGAACATCTGATCCTTTCCATAAATCTTAAAAATGTTTTTTTGGATGGTTCTTCTGAAATATCCGATTCCACCTAAAGCACATGCTGTCTTCACCAAGCAAGCTCTGGCATGAGAATTTCACAGATCAGCGTCACAACCTGACCGTTTTAGTTTCATTTTGTTTTTTTAAAGGGTCTTCAAATAACATGCGCTTGGGCTAGCGGGAAAGACCACACTGAGAGTATCCTAAAACAGTGATATGTGGTTTCCTAAGGTCTACGCAGTTGTCAGCATGAATGGCGAGGTTGCCGCCTCCATTTCAAAGCAGGTGTTGAAAGCAAAACTTGCCGTGTTCTCCCCCTTCAATATCAGGCTCTCCAGCTGTACAGGTGCTTGACTTTCCATGTTTGAAACACAACAGAGGTACAGGGCACTTTGAAGTGCTGGTATTTTAATGATTTTTGGTCAGAGACACTGGGTGCCTAATGTTGAAAGTCGAACCATTCTGTAGGGTTCTTGGTCGCTGGGCCATGTGATGTTTTACCGAGTCTCCACCCGTTCCTGCACTCTTCCTCCTCTTGTTCCCATGTTCCTCTGAACGACTTCCTATATATCTTCCAGCTCTAGCCACCTGAAGGATCACAATCTCACACGTACAGTCTCCGTCTGCAATAGTGGCACCTCCAACCCCATCCCTCCATTTTGCCTTTCGGTTCAATCTTATACTATTACTTGGGACGGAGTCAAGTAATGGCTTTCTGGAATTGGAACACTTCATGGAAATGGAGTTAGTGAGTGCGTCTGCCATTGTTCACATAACTCTGTGTATCTGTCCATTTTTTTAAACAACCAGATGGACAGAGTTTCGGCGAAATGGGCTCTGTGCCATTTCTAATTTCCAATATTTTCTAAAAACAAGGGCCGGCCAGTTTTAAATTGCTCCCAACCGCTCTCCAAGTTGCTCAATAAAATTTTGTAACCTTGACATGTTTACATCTTTGTTGAGGAAATCTCTCCCTTCCCTCCAACCAAATTTAATGCTTAGAAACTTGAATACAGGACTGGATTTTTTAAAATGTTGGTTACGCAATGTTGATTAAGACCGAAGAAGGCGTTTGATTGTTAACGGGAGAGCAATGTGTGTGATGTGGATCTGTTTTCGAACATGATGGCGCAAACCATGTAATGCAAATGCCTTATCAAAGTAGTGGTACTTCTGTGATGGTCAGAATCGTTCCGCAGTCATGGCAGGTGCGTTTGTTTTTATTGTTAAGTCGGAAGTGTGACTGCCTAATGCAGGCATCAACCTGTTGTACAGAAGTCCCATGAGGCTCTAGAGCAGGCATGGGCAAACTTGGACCTTCCAAGTGTTTTGGACTTCAACTCCCACAATTCCTAACAGCCTCAGGCCCCTTCCTTTTCCACCTCAGCTGCTTAAGCGGCTGAGGGGGTAAAGGAAAGGACCTTAGGCTGTTAGGAATTGTGGGAGTTGAAGTCCAAAACACTTGAAAAGTCCAAGTTTGCCCATGTCTACTCTTCAGCACTGTTTCACAAGCTTTGGTCCTCTGGGTGTTATGGGTCTTCATCTCCCAGAATTCCTGAGTTTTGGAGAATTGGAGCTTATGGGAGTTGAAGTTCAAAGCATGTGCAGGATCAAAGCTTGGGAACCAGTGCTCTAGTGTATAAAGTAGATGATGAGCAACTCATGGCCTTGCAAATAGCATTGGGTTGCAACTCCAACTGACTTCTTTGCTGAGGGGATGATAGTATTTGCAATGCCGAAGCATCTAAGAGGCCACAAGTTGCCCACTCTTATAAATGGAGACCTACATGAAACATGAGTTTGCCATTCACATCAGTAGCAATTGAGGTTGGTGCATGGATTTACTGCTCACATTGGAGTTGCTGCTTAGTTAAAGGCCCTGCATGTGCTCCAAACAGTCCAAAAGCCTATCTTCATCCCCAAAAATGTATAAATTGGAATGAGTATAATGCAGTGAAACTGACCCAAGCACATTTCACGGTAGAGCTTTAGGTACTTGGGTAGTTGTGAGTTTTCCTTGCTGTATGGCCATATTCCAGAAGCATTCTCTCCTAATGTTTTGCCTGCATCTATGGTGGACATCCTCAGAGGTTGTCTGCCATAGATGTGGGCAAAATGTCGGGAGAGAATGCCTCTGGAACATGGCCATACAGCCCGGAAAACTCACAACAATGCAGTGATTCTGGTCATGAAAGCCTTTGACAATACTTTAGGTGTATTGTCAAAGGCTTTCATGGCCGGAATCACTGGGTTTTTGTAGGTTTTTTCGGGCTATATGGCCATGTTCTAGAGCAGTGGTTCTTAACCTGTGGTTCCCCAGATGTTTTGGCCTACAACTCCCAGAAATCCCAGCCAGTTTACCAGCTGTTAGGTTTTCTGGGAGTTGAAAGCCAAAACATCTGGGGACCCACAGGTTGAGAACCACTGTTCTAGAGGCATTATCTCCTGATGTTTCACCCACATCTATGGCAGACGACCTCAGAGGATGCCTCTAGAACTGGTTCTCAACCTGGGGTCCCCAGATGTTTTTTGCCTTCATCTCCCAGAAATCTTAACAACTGGTAAACTGGCTGAGATTTCTGGGAGTTGTAGGGCAAAAACATCTGGGGACCCCAGGTTGAGAACCACTGCTCTAGAACATGGCCATATAGCCCGAAAAAACCTACAACAACCCAATACTTTAGGTATTTGTTTTGCTCTTTCGTTGTGTTTAGTGGAACTCGGCCATCTGCTTAAATCTGGCTCGGTTTTGGCTCATACCTAATTCAGCTGTAATGTTTCTCTGTGTTTAAGGAATTGAGAGTGTCCTGTAAACCCCTTGATGTAAAATCCCTGTCCCTTTTCAGCAGAAACCCTGTTTAGCATAATGTTTCCTCAAATGTTCTCCACTGATAGCTTTAAACCAGAATGTGAATCCTGAAAGTTGTGGCGCTTGTTTACATGCTTAGCTTAATGTCAACCATGCTGCTAACTTTGGCCTGGACGTCACACTGAATACGGTCAAGCCTGAAATAGGAAGGGGAAGTAATCTGCAGTGGGTGAAACATGGATCTCTAATTCTTTTAACCACAATTGAAAGATTTGGAGATTTTACGTCTGTCGTAAGATTCCATTGAATGTATATCAGCACTATAGTTGTGTCTAACACCCAATTTTGGCTGTTTGCGTTAAAGTGTGATTTTTATTCCTTATGTTTTACATGTCAGCAGCCCTTGAAATACCATCTGGCTATAGCAGTGGTTCTCAACCCCAGGTATTTTGGCCTCCACCTCCCCAAAATCCCAGCCAGTTTACCAGCTGTTAGGATTTCTGGGAGGTCAAGGCCAAAACATCTGGGGACCCACAGGTTGAGAACCACTGGGCTATAGCGTCATTTTAACTCCTGAAATAATCGTTTTACTAAGGAGATATTAGCACATTTCCCATTCAAGATGTTAATATCTTTTCTAATCCTTAGGAATGAGAAGTTCAGGCTTGGCATACTAAGTAATGTTTCATGACTGACATCTCAGTTATCAATGAAATTCAAAATGCACTTTTAGGCGGTGACATAATTTTAGGGGGGGGGGGGGCGGGGACCTTGTGTATTAAATGACTTAACATTTATTTTTAACCTCTGTGACGTCGTCAGGAAAGTGCCCCCTTGTTTCCTAACAGCGCACTTTGGGGAGAAGCTTGGTCATGTGCTAGTTTTAAGGAAAACAATGCGATACGAGTTGAGAATTTCTCTTCTTCGGCTGCTGCGATGGGCAAAAAAAAAATCAAACATTTTGATCTACTCCTTTCATTTGTTTTATTATCTCGTGTAAATATCAGTGGAGACTTGAATTATAAAAATCCTACAAAGTGTGTGTGCCGTTTTCTGTCTAATGAAAAAATGGGGTACAAGTTTCTCAGAATGCGTCATTGATGTATGCCGAGTTACTTTGTGTGTGTGTGTTTTGGCATTCTTGTTTCTCCTTTAAGGAAAAAAAAACATACCGAGATGTTCTATCTCTGCAGAAAGCTGATGCATGAAACCACCATGCCGATCTTTTTGTTGAGGCCTTTTTAACGAAATGGATTTTGCCATCATTTTGGTACAATTTATAATTACTGTGTAATTATAAACAAATCCTGCATTACATAAAGCATTGCTGTCTTAAGTAGCGGAGAAACTGAAGTCAGTCATTTGTGTGATTGCATCTTTGAAATTTAAGAAGGTTTGATCCACCACGCACAAGTCGGATGCCCGCCGTTCCTTGCAATAGGATGTGTATTTTCAAGGCTTTGCTTGGATTGTGCCCAGTGGCAGAAATATATGGCTCAGTGATGGTTTGCTTCTGAATGTAAATGCTTGGCTTTAGGAGAGATTGACAGATGCACAGACTTATGCCTGTATGTGTGCGTATGTATGTATGTATGTATCTGTGTGTGTTATTTAATTTACAAGTTGTGAACAGAATACAGTACATACTTGGGTTGGGTTTCTTAATAAAAGCAACCCAAACTTTGGTCTGGCTTTTATCTTCCCATCCGAATTCTCATTCTCTCTCTCTCTCGTTCCTTTTTAATTGCATACAAATATAAAACCCTAATTTGGAGGGGTTTATACTAATATGTAGAACTGAAGCAATCCTCCGATAAGAACACTTGGGAACCGAGGTTTATATTTCAAACACAATCAGCATCTTTCTGTAAGTTGAATTGTAATTTCTTAGGAAAACGCATCCCTCCCAACAAACCAGAAGGCAATAAAGTTTGAGCCCAATTGTCATGATGAAACTTTCTCAGGAATTATTTCATTTATGAGTATGTGTTTTATTTTTAGGGGATCAAGGTCAGTGATGTGAGAGTCTGTGAACTACAGTGCGTGTTTTAACGCATACATGGCATAGTTGGGGGGCGGGGTTCTCTTTCCTATTTGTAACACATTGATTTTGAATTCCTTATTTTATGAAAGGAGGGTGAGCAGGGAACATGGCTTGTTTGTTTGTTTACAATACTTATATTCTGCCCTTCTCACCCCAAAGTGGACTCAGGGCAGATCACAGAACACATATATGGCAAATATTCCTTGTCATTATACAATGACAAGACAGACAACAGATAGAGGTATATATAGACTTTTTCTCACCATTCGGCATCTGTTGGAGGCAGGAGCCCCCGGTGGCGCAGTGGGTTAAACCCCTGTGCTGGCAGGACTGAAGACAGGTCACAGGTTTGAATTCCAGGAGAGGTGGATGAGCTCCCTCTATCAGCTCCAGCTCCTCGTGGGGATGTGAGAGAAGCCTCCCACAAGGATGATAAAAACATCAAATCATCCGAGCCTCCCCTGGGCAACGTCCTTGCAGACGGCCAAGTCTCTCACACCAGAAGCAACTTGCAGTTTCTCAAGTCACTCCTGACACAACAAAAAATAAAATCTGGAGGCTGTGCTCGGTTCCGGCCACAGGGAGGTGCTGTCACTCCATCTCCTTGCCGAAGAGCTTTCTTTGTAAACTTTCCTCTGAAATGCCATGCCTAAAATACCTCCTCCACTTAATGCAGTTCTTATTAATCTACTCACATTGCTGTTTTTGATCTACTAGATGGGCAAGGAGCTGGGCTGAAGGTCTGGAGCTCACCCTGACCCGGCTTTGAACTGTCAACCTTTTGGTTGGCAAGATTTACTGCAACTGTAGCTGGTGATTCACCTATTGTGCTAAAGCTGGCCTTGGCTTATGACAGCCAGTCTAAATCTTGCAGCCTATGACAGCTGGAATCCTGTTCTTTAGTCTCAATTGGAGTAGACCCATTCAATTTGTACATAGGTACATCCCATTTTTTCAATGGGCTTACTTTAGGTAGAACTGACAACAGAATTCAGGTTGGCCTCTGAAAAAAATTATTTCCTCAAAAACAGTTCTATGACACTTTTCTGAAAGTTGTCTAAAACTTAAACTTTTCTCATTTGTCATCTG